CTAGAAAGCAAGCAGTAGCTTTATCAATGTCACAAAGGATGTGTCCACTTCTCCAGGCCTCCCTGGAACATGAGGAGGGGAAGATCCTCCGCCTCCAGCTGGAGCTCAACCAAGTGAAGTCTGAGATTGACAGGAAGATAGCAGAGAAAGATGAGGAGATCGACCAGCTCAAGAGAAACCACCTCCGAGTTGTGGAGTCCATGCAGAGCACCCTGGACGCTGAGATCAGGAGCAGGACTGAAGCACTGCGTCTGGCAGGAATGAAGCCCTGCGTCTGAAGAAGAAGATGGAGGGAGACCTGAATGAAATGGAGATCCAGCTGAGCCATGCCAACCGCATGGCTGCAGAGGCCCAGAAGAACCTGAGAAACACACAGGCAGTGCTCAAGGTATGTTAAACTTCAGATACGCACATAGGTGTTTAGTTTGTGTAACAGCTTAGAATAATTGAATCTTAGAATGATGTGTTGAATGATCAAAGGTCATCTAGTCCAGCCCCTCTGCCATGAGCAAAGATGTTTAACTAGAGCAGACTGCTAAACATCTCATCCAACCTGACCTTTTAAAACTTCCAGTGTTGGGGCATCCACAACAGTCTATTACTGGATACCAGGTGGAAGAGATCAGCACCTCTCTTTTCAGTTCTCCTCTTCAGGAAGCTGGAGAGAGCAAAGAGGTATCTTTCAGTATCTTTGTCTCCAAACTGGACAAATCCCATGTCCTTAGCTGGTCATCAGAGGAAATGTCTTCCAGTCCTTTGACCAGCTTTGTAGCCCTCCTCTAGATGCATTCAATTCCCTTAATGTACTTTTTAAATTGTGGGGCCCAGAACTGCATGTAATATTCAAATTGAGGCCTCACCAAAGCTTACTAAAACAGGAAGTCATCCCCAATTTTGCCTTAGCTTTCCTGTTTCCTATCCCTACATATCTGTCAGTATCCCTCTGTTTTTCCCAAGATACATGTCTTTGTTTCCACTGCCCATGTATTTTCTTCTTACACTTTAGTTTGACCAGCATGTACTTCTCAGCCATGCTCTTCTGCCTTATTTGCCTGATTGCTTACACATGGGAATTGAGAGTCAGAGTGATTGAAGTCCTCGAGTAGGATCAGAGCCTGTAGGTGTGATGCTTCCCATAGCTGAAGTAATAACACTTCATTAACAAGCTGCCCTTGGTCAGGTGATGTAGTAAATATCAGCCACAAGATTTCCTTTGTTGGGTTGGCCTCTAATTTTTACTCGTTAGTTCTTAACCTGGCTCATCATTGTTTTTCAAAGAGAGCTCTATGCCATCACTCCATTTTTTTTTTTCATAGAGGGCAACCTGCCCTGCTTCCTTGCCTGTCCCTTCTGAGCAGTGATAGCAGTGATAGTGTCCCTTCCCCTGCTAAGTCTAATTTAAAGCTCTGGCCAGCTTATTGGTGAAGGCCCTCTTGCTCCACTTGTTCATGTGAATCCCATCAGCTCCCAACAGACCAAGCTTCTGAAAGTTAGATCCAAGATCATAGATGCCAAAACCTTGAAGATGGCATCAGCTAGACAGACAGGCCTGTTCAATTTTTCTCCTCCTTGCTGAACAACTTCCTCTGACTGGGAGGCTAAAGGAGAACACCACCAGTACTTCAGATTCTAACATTGCTCTGAGGGATATATGGTCTCTTTTGATGATTGCAAGTTGCTTTGTTGCAGTATCATGAAAGCCTACAGCATATAGTAGAAGCTGATGATAATCTGGATGGTTCACCAAGTTTGTTAGTATCTCAGTGTCAACACAAGTGTGAGCTCTTTTAGGTAGCAAACTTCTCTAGAGAAATTATCTGCATAGTAAATGGGTGTTTTGATGCCTCTCAGTAAGGAATTTCCAATTACTAATACCTTATGTACTTTTCTTGTGGCACTGCTTCGAATGTGAGTGGGTGGTTGTATCACCATTACATGGTTGATTTTTTTTGATCCTGTCAGTCACTCATGTGCTCTTCAATTTTCAGCTCCAGAGCACTGTTTCTGTTAAGTAGTAGAACTTTAGAAGAAAGGGGAAGATTCTTTTCTGCCTCAAGAAGAGACAAAAGTCCAGTTTTCTTCATCTTCTAAGTTACTTGTGTCAGTCAGATGCGGTTTGAATTCAGGTTTACCTTCCCCTTGCACAAACTTAAATTTATGTAAGGCTGTCACTCAGCCTGGGACAGTGTTCAATGCTATGTATAAATCTCCTGCTTACATTCTTAGATACTGTGCATGTAGTAGCCAAATAATTCTGCATATGAATATATATTAGATGTATAAATATACATATAATACATATTGGACTGGTGGTAATTGACATTGTGAAACAGTCCTGTGCCTCATAATTTCTTTTTCATTGCCTAAAGGATACCCAGATACACTTGGATGATGCTGTCAGGACACAGGAGGACCTGAAGGAGCAGGTGGCCATGGTGGAGCGCAGAGCAAACCTGCTGCAGGCTGAAATTGAGGAGCTACGGGCAGCCCTGGAGCAGACAGAGAGGTCAAGGAAAGTGGCTGAGCAGGAACTGATGGACGCAAGTGAGAGAGTTCAACTCCTCCACACTCAGGTTAGATTAATGATATTCAAAAATGTCAAGAGTCTTTTTTCTCAGATAGTTTATCTGTGTGAATTCTTAAGTCATGTCATGTAATAAAAAACTTAACCTGAACAAGAATCACTATCTCTGTACAAAGAAACAGGTAAAACGAGTAGGATTGCATTAACAGGAGTCAGAAGAGCTTCTTAAAATTTTAAGAACTCTCTGCTCTCTTGTTGTGTATGACCTGAAAATATGAATCATTTGAAGATGCTAATATTAGAGATATAGATGAAAAGTTTAAAGAGTAAATTTCTAAAATAAATGTTCTGATTTTTATTCAACTAGAAAAAATATTTTGTTGTTCAACAGAACACAAGTTTGATCAACA